GAAGGAAGGAAGGAAGGAAGGAAGGAAGGAAGGAAGGAAGGAAGGAAAATTTCTGACAACCACTGCCAGCTTCATTCTAGGAAACTTAGTGGGGAAGCTGAGAAGTCAGAAGTTGCTCCTTCTCCTGTTAATTGTTTATGGTTATTTGCTTTGTCTGTTTAGCAAAGGAAATATCTTTGCAATAATGACCCATGGATCATGGATTGTCTAGTTCCTATCAAAGCTTTGGGCTGAGCCTAGTTTTATCCATTCCTAAAAGAATCTTTCCTACTGGTAGCATTCTATAATAAGCTACTGTGCTGTAAATAATATTTCAATACTATTATTTCAACAAAATTTTCACTGGATGATTGGCAGGGGCAGGGTTTACGAAGGAAGTAATATACCCCTATATCACATCTGTTAGATGGCGGGAAAAGAGACTCGAGACCAGTGTGACTTTTCAGCTCTTTATTTGATATATAGATCTGTTCTTGACCTCGAAGCCGCGGCAGCCCTTTATATAGGGATTGCCCGCGGCTCCCAGCCGATGAGGGCTCTTTGAATCTCCTGCGATCAGTCCAGCCAATCGCGGTTGATTCATAGTGAGCCAATCGCCGCCATTCATTTAACCAATCACTGTGCAGTATGTCTGAGCCAATCAGATGAGAGTATTCCAAGTATGCCAATATAGAACAACATCCATCCATTTCAAGGCCATCCCTACTATTAGACCTAGTAAGGTTGTGGCTGAGGTTGTAGCTATTGGGATGAATGGTGTTGCAGGAAAGTACTGAAGTGTACTCCCGCACTGGGTGTATCATTCAATTTGACCTTCATCTTTTCACTCATTTACTAGAAATTTTGCATTAAGATGCCTCCTCTTAATCACATCCCAGCCTTTTGGCTAAGATCAAATTTATTTCATCTTTTAGAAATATATGCATACATATAAATGTGCTTATTTGTCTCTCTGCCTCCCATGCTTTTTATTTTCTTATCCATGTATTAAATTATATGATAGTATTCTAAATTTGAAACTATCTTGAGTATTTGGCAGAGACAGTGCATAAAGACCACAGAAATAATAAATAAAACACAGACTGGAAAAAATATTAATACATCTTTGGGAACAACACAGATTGGCTTAGAAAAATTCTAATATGTTTAGCCTGTTAATTTATTTTTAAATTTATCTTTTTCAGAATTTTGTGTTTGCTGTGTCTGATCTACTGGCTAGAGTAGCTTACAATAATTTGATATATTTTACCTGATTATAAACTGTGACAAATAATAGTTTTAATCCTAATGCACAATTAAACCTGATGGTTTAATTAATATGTATCTATTTTCATCTGCACAATTTTACATTAATCTGCATTAATGTTATTCTCCTTCTGATAAATTTGCAAAGTTTATTCATATAAATGTAGATTTCCCTAAATACTGTGTTTCTCACAAAATAAGGCTGGGTCTTTTTTTTTTTTTTTTTTGACCCCTGAAAAACGGCTAGGCCGTCTTTTCGGGGGTGACTTAATTTTCTCCCCCACCTAGAGCGGCCCATACGCACGTACCTCGCCGCAAGGCCACTTCTATCGGCCGAAGACAGCTCCCCGAAGGCAGAGTCCCCAGCTGCTTCAGGGCATGGCGTGGCTGCCCGTATCCCCTCGCCTTTAGGCAGTCTCTTTCGGGCGATG